TGTCCCTCGGCAGGCTCGTTAGGCTTACTTCGGTCGCACCATTAATTAAGGCACCGCGCGTCTGGAGGGAGGGGGACGTTTGTAGCTCGGTCTCCGGTGTTATTTCAGCCGTTCATTTAGGTTACCTGCGTGTGTCATGTTTTTCAGGAGATACCTTTAGAAATGCAGATTATAGCTTCGAGGAAGGGGAAGGTCCAAAAATCGTTATTGGGGAGAAACAAGAAAATGTTTGTCAGACTCATTATTTCAAAGTAGTGTTTTAAAATAAGATGCAGTTACGAGATCTTGGTTGTTTTGGTCACGCCGAGGGACCGCTTGTGCGTGTTATGCAGGGGTTTTAGCGTGGAGCAGAGGCTAGGCCTACAGCCAGCTGACTCGGTTCTGGTGTGAAACAGCTGTAATGGGGGCTGGGGGGGGGAAAAAGCATTTTTGAAGGTTGTGAATTTGAAAGTGTACTCTTCCCGGTAAAATCTTTCAAATGCTAATTTGAAGAAAGAGGCTTAACATAAATGGGGAGTGACTGGGACTACAGCAGCACCTGCAGCACTGAGGAGCCTGCTAGGGCTCCAGCAGAAATCTTTTAACAGGATAATTTGGACTTCAGCTCTTGTGGAATGTCTTGGACTTCCAGACTTCAGGCTGAACGTTACATAGAGACGTAGAAACCATTTGTCATCGGATGGGTTACTTTCATCAGAGGCACGATTTCAGAAAACGGGGAAAAACAATGGCCTCGCCTGGATTTTCTTTCTCTTTTCTTTAGTTTTGGTGGCTGAAAAATAGTTTAGATACTTGTAAATAAAAATTTGCGGGTGTTTAGCGCTGGCTGTAAGGTCATCTGTGCGCGTGTTTTAAAGTGATAGTTCAGCTGTGGCAGTTTCTAACAGTAGCTGTCATGAGTCGTGGACAGTAGAACACAAACCGACTGGTAAAAAATAAAGCTCACGGCCCTATTATTATGTTATGTTTATAAGACGCGTGAAATAAAAACACAAGTACTTTGGAAGTATTCCTAACATTTTCACATCGTATTCAAGTAACAGCAAAGAAGAGCCGCTAAACATTCCAATGGGTTTATGCTACTCTTTGTAGGCCCCACCGCTGTACACGTGCTTGCCCCTTCTGCCACGAGCAGACTCACTGAAATTAATGGAACTCTCCTTGGTGGTGAAGTTAAACATGTGTAATTGTTGGTAAAATAGGGCCTTAACGAGTAGCCAAATATAGGAATAGACCTATTCAGAAATGTAGATGTGATACTTCGTTTTGGTTCACTGGTGTCGTATCTGATCCGGAGAACCCAGATATGTCAATACCAGACTGTACGCGTTTACAGCAAAAGCAAAAACTGCCTCCCCCCGTTCTTGGCCTAAGTGAAGTAAAGATTTTGGCTCCCAATGCTTATAAATATAAGAAGTGATTTAGAGTTATGGCTGAAATGTTGTTATTAATTATTCTGAATGGAAATACGACTGTAGCATATACTGGTATTCCTGAATAATTCTTATCTGTGAAGGGGACCCAGGCTCTATCTTAACCCGAGTTACTCATTCTTGGTTAGTTTTGCTGCCTGTCTTTATTGCCTGTTTCAGTATGCCTGAAGAGACAGGGTGTGGATGTTGTAAGATGGTTCAGGGGAGAAATGGTGCCTGCATAAAGAGTTGTAGGTAAAAACTGCTCTCTCAATGCTTATAAAACATCAGTGAGCAAGGAGAGGAAAAAGGAGTAAGGCTGTAATATTAAAGTGGCAAAATATGCAAGCAGGTTTTATGGAGAGAATAGCAGGACTATTAGGAATTCATGAGGGAGAAGGAAAGGAAGGGAGAAAGCAGAGGGGAACTTTGAAATATAACTGCTAAAATACAGTTTTGAACATGAGGCTCAAAATGGAGGCTTGTGCTTTCAGGGTGTGCTAGCAGAGACCTGGCATCCTATAAATACAAACTGTACCTCTGTGCCCATTCTGCCACAGACATACGTTTTCTGTTGTTGAGACATAGGCTAATGAGAGGAATAAATGAGTAGCCAGGAGATGCAAAGGGGAATCTTTCTAAATTTTGCCAGTTATGATACTGCTCTTGTGAAAAATACGTTTGCTTTATATAGAAAGCTACCGATCTGGCAGCATGGAGCAGCTCAATTAAATGCTGCTGTTCGAGTCTTTTTAGTGTGCATGGAAAAACGGGTATTGTAGGCAGATGGGTTGCCCTGTGCACTGGCATCCGTGCAGCACGGCAGAAATAGCATACATCTACTTATGGAAACTGGAGTAAAGTCGAGTGTTTTTTTTCTACTGCAGGTATATAAGGGAATCAGAGGAGAGCTGCGGGGGGGCTGTTCGGAGCATGCAGCCACAAAAGGTGGTCTTTGCGTCTCGTTGTATATGTGATTGATTTGGAACATGTAGAGAGGGTGGGAGGTTGCTTACAAGACACAAATTAGAGAAGGAGGTTTCTGTAGCTTTGTGGGTGGAGGCTTAAAAGGGATGCCTTCCTTTTTCAGATGTGAGTATCCACGTATTTTATTGCTTGTGATTTCAGCTACAGTCTTTTGACTGGGTGATGATGACCACAGCCAAACTTAAAATATTTTAAAGATCTAACAAAAATGCTGCAGTTTAGTATGGACTTCAGTCAGCCTTTCTCTCCATCAGATAGCAGTGACGAGGCAAGCAGACTTTGACGTTCTGTACTTGCTCTCTATAAAATGTTGAAGTTGTCCTTTTTCCTTCCAAACCCTGCAATCTGCTTTTAACGTTGACACTGGAAAAATGGACAGTGAAATGATCCAAGATTCAGATCTGACACATGACTTGAGCTGGGCATTTATTTTTAGCTACAACTGAAGTTTCCAGTGGCAATTACTTCTTTTTCTTTCACTTTTCACTCTTGCACTGAGAAAACCAACGTTCTTGATTTTACCCTGAAGAAAAAATTTTAATGTGTCCCTTCATCACTCATGCTTCCTTCTGAAATTGATTTACTTTCATTTTCTAGGTGCTGGTGAATCCGGTAAAAGCACAATAGTCAAACAGATGAGGATCTTGCATGTGAATGGCTTTAATGCTGAGTAAGTGCATTTGTTTTTTTCACTTTACAACCTACCTTATGTCTGTGCGCCGTAATGTAGTCATTGCTGTTGTTTTATATCTTGGTATATTTTCTTCTTACTACTGTTTCACAGTCTCTAGAATTTGGGGGTGTATTTTTAGATTAGATTAATAGACATTAACTTGAAGAAGTCATGCACCAATAATAAGTAAGAGCTAACGGTATAAAATGATTTCCATCAAGGTTCAGTGTAGCTGATTTGATTAAGGCTTAAGTTTTGTGGGTTTGGGTTTTTTAACTGCAGTTTCTTTCACAACATGGCTGACGCTGATTTACCTCTGCTATAGCACGTTGATTCATGCTGCTGTAAACATGCATACTGTTAGTGTACAAAATGAATGTGATTTTATTTATTTAGAGCAAGTAAGGCTTTTGTTTCTGTCTCCTCACCAAATGAGATTGTGCTGTGAATTTTGGAGGTAGTAGGTCAGATTTTCTTCTCTCTTCCGTTGTGTTTGCTTGCCCAGAGGTTTCTGTTAAATTATGTTTCAAAAAGCTTTTTCTTGTTTACTCTTAAACCCTTCAATTGTTTGCCAATAGTGAGGAGGGGAAAGGCATTAGGATAAGGGAAATGGAAATCTATTATTTTGTCTGAGAAAGATTTGTGTTTTCTAACTTTTCATCTAACTTTGCTAGGCAGTAGGAAGAGATTCTTCTGCATGTGAGTTTATGCTTGCAAGCATCTCTCTGTGTGTATACCAAAACCTGCTAAATTAATTCTGATTGAATTAAGGTGTTGGAATTTCAGAGCTTATTCTCTGCATTTCATTTCTTTAGATTATATTACTGGTTTTGTCTGTCTTGTTTTCAAACATAGTATTTTTGTATTGGGATCCTCTAGCTTCTAGTAGTATAATCTATTTTGTGAATCCTGCCTTTTTGGGAAGATGAAGCTATCCCTAGTCTTTCAGTAGTTAATTCTTTAGTAAGAATGTGTGAGCTAAAAGTTTAGCCAAGTAGCCTGGACAATACTTCTTCGTAATCCCCACAGGCTAGTTCAGGATAAGGTACACAATCTTTCGGAAGAAAGTTCAGACTGATTAATAATAAATTACATTCTGTGCTGTGTGTTTTTAGCTTGTCTTTATAGGGAATATTTTGTTTATCCAAGACAACTCTTTTTCATAAGTGCCCAGTCTGGCATCCAGTTACTGGTGAGCTGTCTCCATTATTTTGGCTGCTCTTGTTACTAAGGACCTCTTAAAAGACTTGTGTGACTTAAAAGATTTGCATAAGTTGACTTTGATGTAGCAGCTCTCAACATTAGGTGCTAAGTAAAAGGTTCGTCAATGAAAGTAGAAGTCAAGGATCCCTGGCACCTTTAAAAGTATCAATCCATTTAACCAACAGAGTTCTTCCAAGTTTTCTAAGCATAGAGATGCTGTTAAAGAGATGATGCTGCTGTGTAATGAATGGTGTATTATATGGGTAGATAACCTTCGCAACCCTGCAAGCTGCATACCCAAACTTCCGTGATATTGGGAGCCCAGAGACCCGTTATACTAAGCCTGCAGAGCTGGGGACAGACTGGGACCCACTCCGGGGTTTGTAACAGCAGTGCGTTCCTTGAGTATTTCACTTCTGTGTTGTAGCTTGGGGCTGAGCTGAGCACGCAGCTGGATTCCAGGACAACATGGCAAATTTGGCCTCAGGAGCCTCTGCTGACTTCTGCCTTCTCATAGCAAGGGATTTGCATTTGCCAGCCGCGTAGCATACCCCAGTGCGGGAGCCACGCTTGAACTGCATGCAGCTCAGGAACTATAGGTTGTCCACTCCACGGCCTGTTGTCTTGCAGTCAGTCCTTTGTGCTTGTCCTTTTATGGGTGGTATGTATTGGAACATCCAGATGCGTAAAAATAAAATTAAAAAGTGGTGTATATAAAATGTACAAGAAATAAGTTAATGCGTCTAGTTTTAGGGTTTTGTTGCCAAAAATAATCAGTAGATCATAACATGTTTTACATGGGGGAGAAGGCTGTTTTTCAGTGTTTTGAAGTTCTTGCAAGTTACATGTTCGTCCTTACATGTTCGTCCTTAAGTAACTTGTGTTTTCTTCAAAGTAACTCACCGCTCCCTACGTTAGCCTACTTTCCCTGCTATCCTTTCTGCCCAATTCATTCCCTTTCTGCCCTACTTACCTTGTGGAAAAATGATGTGGGAGTCAGCTAATGAGAGAGATAGCATGGAGTTCTTTTGGAAGAGTAGGAAAAGTAAAGCATTACTTATCTTAATGTTCTTATCAGTCATTCTAGAACATAAACTTATTTGCATATGACACCATAGTTGATGCGATGAGTAACAGCAGAGACGTGAAAACTGTAGTATGCTGGAGATAAAGAGACTTTTTTAAATGTTAGTGTCCATGTACATAACTGTAGTTTTGAACTATTTCTGTTGATGCGGCTCATTCATGTGGCTTGAAAGAAATCCAGTTTAAAGTCCGGTCTAAAACTTGTTTGCCTTTGATTTGGTTGCCCTGGGGTGATTGATGGTTGAAGCAGAAAGAGGATGCCTGTTACAAAAAGTGTCTAATGTGCTACGAACAAGTGAATCAGAAGTTTTTCCTTAGTGTTAGTCAGATACTCTTCTTCATTTCTGGTGACTAAACAGGATATCCAGTGCTAAATGTACTGGCTTCCTTCGGTGAGTGTGGTGATTTTTTTATTTGTTTTGTTTTTAGGATTCTGCCCCTAAAGAGATGAAGTTGTCATGTGCATTTAGGTGAATTGGCCTCATGTAGAGCTGTAGCATTTAACAAGGTGAAATCTATGTAGTTCTACAAAACTAGAAGAATTTCCTCTGGGACTCCAATCCTTGATTGCTTTAGCTAATTAATTATTTGAGGAACTGTATGGAATCACGTCTTCCACGTAATTAATATGCTTAATAGTTAACAATGCTAAGGTGAATTTGAAGGTGGTTAAAGCTCTAGCCAAGTTAACTACAGTAAAGACTGCTTAAAAATTTTTCAGTGTTCTTTTTATAATCTGTAGTTGAGTTAGGGACAGAAATGTGTATGTATTTTTTTGATCTTGTTGTGAAGATGGTGTGTGGGAAGTAACGGTGCTGTGGCATTGGTAAGTGGAGTAGAATATTGAAGAAGCAAGGCATGGTCTACAGCAAAAGTTTTTCTGGTTGGAGTTTTTGGAAGCGCTTAGCCCGCTTCCAGTTCTTGCAGGATGGCTTCAGCTGGCCATGCTATCAACTGATGTCTTCCTACAGCAATTTCATAAGTAATGGGAGTGTGGCTTCCCCACAGTATTCTTCCAGCGTGCCTCATCTTTAACATGGAAGAGCTGCATTTTAAGCATAATGAAGACTCCATATCAGCCAAATTTTCTCCTCTCTGCATTACTGCCAGCAACAGAGCCCCTTGTGATGTAGAAAGGGTTTAAATTTGGCTTGTAATAGCAGGAAGCCTGTGACTTCCCTTCCTTTCCTTCCCTCCCTCCTCAACACTTCAGCTGTCTTTCGTGAGGCTATTCCAGAGGGGTAGGTCTCTGCTGTTGCACACTGCGTTTTGTGAGCACCCACTGATAAAGTGGAGCTAAAACCTTCTCTTTTTGACTGTGCAGAAGTTCAGATGCCAATCTTTATGAACCAGAAAGGATTGAAAAAGGGAAAGGGAGGACAGGAGGAGTAAGGAATATAGTTAAAAAAATTAATGTAAATGTATAGTTCAGGTTGAAGAAGAAAAAAAAAACAACCCCAAAACCCTCTTTTCTGTGTCAGTGGGACTGGGGTTCTTTGCTTCTAAGATGATGGCCTTTCACTGACTTTTTTTTTTTTAAAGTCATCTTTCCCCTCTGTGATCACTGTGGGTTTGGCTGACGGACTCTAAGGAGAGGGTCATTGTCATGCATGATTTTAGAAAGTGGGAAGTTGGCAAGGGCGATAGACAGTTTTGAAGTGTCATGGGAAAAACTGAGACAACAGAAATAGTTAGATAGAAATAAATTGTTGAAATGTGACTTACGAAATCCACTACAAAGACCGACAAATAAGGGAAATGTGCCTTTGTGATCAGTAAGTTTGGATAGTATTTATGATTCAGGAAGTCTTGAGGTTATAGGGAATTTCAGATCATGCTTCTCGGCCTCAGTTTCCCAAATGATGTTGTATAATGATAAATTTATTTCTTAAACTGGTATGTTGAAGTGTTGAATAGGAGTTCGTGTATTTATCAAATCTGTTCATGATGATGGCAGAAGCAGAACTGAATAGCTTTATTTTCAAGACTCAGATGACAACTATATTTGCTTTTCTCTTGTACTTCAAAAAATTATTTTCTCTTAGTGGGGAAGTTAAGAAAGCCAAGTTGCCCTCTTAAAGGCTTGGAACTTTTTCTCTTTTCTCACCTAGATTTAGTAGCTTGTGAGGAAGGAAAAGTAGTCATTGATGCTTTCTGATATTTTCTTTATACATGTTGTCCACCAAAAGTTGAACTGAAGTACCACCATTATTTCATGTAAACCAGTAAATGATGTCTAGTCACATTGGTCAGTGTCAGTCTCTTCTTGTGACTGAAATGACTTCTGTCTCAGTAACTTCTTACTCTTCTGCTGATACTGTGCTTTGTTTTCTGACTTTAGTCTTTTTATGTGTGTGATTTTATGCAAGAGAAGTGAAAGTTATGAGCGAGGAAAAAGTATAATATTTATAAGTAAGTCTTCTAATACCCTCCTAATGGCTTATGTTAGTGTATACGCAAACGTTACTGCTCTGTTTTTACAGTTCTTTTAGATTTGTGTACCAATACCATTTTTTTAGAATGGCCACATCACTTCCTTGGCAAGAAATGAACTGACTTTATTATCATTTACTCTACTGACAAAAAGAAACAGTTTTTTCCTGGTGTTTGAGTAACACTGAAAATTGGAGGATGGGGGAGCCTTGATGTGTGTGATTTCCCGCCCCCCCTCCTTACTTCTTCCTTTCTTTGCATCACAGGGTGTATCAGGAGGCTTCTGCAGATTTGAGGCAGACCATGGTGTGTTTTGTTTTTTTTTCTCAGCTCCTGTCCCAGGACATAGACGAGGTGTTACTGTGCTGGAAAATTTGTGTGTTCATGTCTGTTCAAGACTATGAAAAGTTCCATCTCAGCTGAACAACTAGTTAAGGGTTTTGATCAAAATTGGTGCCGTAGAACATAAAATGAAGGTGTGGGTGGAGAGGGGAGCAGGATATGTATTTCAGTCTATTTTAGGTCTTGTCCTAAGAACTGACATGGTTGTATAATTGAGTTTTGTCAAAAGACAAGAATATACCAACAGTGAATAAATACTATGATTAAGAACTGAATACTGCATATAGCTTGTAAAAGTTTACGTAAAATGTTTGTGCAAGTTATATTTAACTTCCGTCAACTTGAAAGAAATGGGAGGTAATACCTGGTGATGCTAAACAGCCTAAGCAAACAAGAAATTCCTTAATTGTTAGGATGTTTAATACGGTGTTTATGTGCTTGAAATTATCTTTTCTTTGGAAATACTTCATTTGTACAAAGGGGAAAATTCCATTTTGTGAAAAAGTAAACCTGAACTCAGTGAAGCAGCATTAGTATTTTTTCATGTTATACAGGAAAAAAAAAGGGAAAAAGTTTCCAGTTTTGGGTTTTTTCAAGTTTCTTGTGGTATCTTGCCCTAAGACACGAGACATTCCGTATTAGGAACACATGCAAATGTTTTGCATTTAAATCTACTACTCAGATATGATTTTTAAATACTGTAAGATGAGTTTTCAGAAAATTCTGATAGCTTTTAATACCTACACCAAGCCTTATTTAGCAAAGAGTATTAACATACTGTGGTGCTGAATATTCTAATAGTCGATGGAATAACTCCTTTACCTTGCTCGGAGGCATTCTGAAATCAAGCCATTAAAATATTTCCATGTGCAAGTGAAGTGAAATTTTTTTTTCAGTTGTTTAGGTTCCTGAAAGTATTACATGAAGGAATTTAAAAGTTTAAAAAAGCTGGTTAGTTCAGTTGTGGTTTTAGATGCTCGTGGTAGGCTCAGGCTAACCGTCAGTGGAGAGATGACAACACAGTCACAGAAAGCAAGCATAGACTTTCATTTTTACATTACGCTTTATTTTCAACTGCCTGGTTTGTGTGTTTGCTTTTTTGAGGAACTCTTATTTAGGTAAAAGAAGGAAAGTGGGAATCAAACATAAAAAATTCTTTATTTTTATAATTGCATGGGAAACAAGATGTTGCTCATAGCAGAGCATGCATCTTACCTGCATTTACTGGTTGGTGGGAAATTGTTGAATTCTCCTAGCAAAGCAGTATTTAAACTACCAGTTCTACGTTGAGCTCGTGTCCTCTGAATTACTATTCCTGGCCTTGCCACTCAACGTTTGTGCTTTCAGTGAAGTATTTCAGTTTTCTGATTAAAAAAAAAAAGAAAAACAAAAAAAACCCCTAGTAGTAAATTCATCCCTTAAACTGTGTGCTTTCAGTGAAGTATTTCAGTTTTCTGATTTAAAAAAAAAGAAAAACAAAAAAAACCCTAGTAGTAAATTCATCCCTTAAACTAAATTTGCATATGTTGCAGACATGACTTGGCATGTAAAGGGACTGGCCAAAAATACGGCAGTAGTTTTATTTGTTTTGATGTTTAAATTTCACAAAAGCTTTTTAACTATGCACAGGCAGCTATCAACTTAGTAGGAAGCTTTATAGTTAGGGTTGTAGAGAGCTTGGAGGGCAATAACCATGAATAGTGGAATAAGCATGAGTGATGTAATCTGAGAAGCAAAAGAGAGAGACAGAAGAGAGTTTAAGACTTGACTATGTGGAAAACATTGTGAATGGGTTTGGGAGGATTTTGACTTTTGATGGTAATGTGGGGATTTTACCCACTAGTTTTGGTAAAAACAAACAAATGAAAATAAATGCTGTTTTACAAAATTTGCAAGTTTCCTTTTACCTTCTCAAAGAGAAAATAAACTGTTCTGTGGGTAGCTGAGCTTATGAAGTCTGGTTTCTGTAACTTGTTCTGTCTTTCCCAAATCTTTTCTGCAGTAATCCCTCCCAGTCCCCTATAGCATCTGCAGTTCCCCCCCGTGGGACCTGTGTAGCTTTCCAAGTATCTTCTGTTCCCTCCAAGCGATGCAGTCCTCATTCTAGTCCATGGTCCTGATGTTCCCTGCAACACTGACCCCTAAATGCTCCTGGATCATTCTGTCCTTTATCTTCCTTTTTTTTCTGCTTTTCCTGCTACCTGGACAAACTCAGCGTGTGCTCTGGCTGGGGTAGATCTCCATGAACACTTCCTGCTTTTCCTCACTGAAGCACTAATTTTGGTCTCTCTTCTATTCAGCCCCTAATTTGCATTTCTGGAAATTAATCTCCTTCAAGTTTGGTTGAAGTTGGACAACACTATCTGAGAGAGAGCAAGACTGAGAGAAAACAGCTAAAAAAAGTCCTACTCTTCCTCAGTTCAATCCCAATATTTTTTGAAATATTTTTACTTTGCGCATTCATGAGTTAAAGTGCAAGTGGTGTGGTTTTCTCCATTTTTCTTCTCTTAAGTCTACTAGTATAAGCCAATGTATCACATTCTATTTAACTTGTTATATAATAAATCACAAACTATATTAAATACCCCCAAAAACCTTTAGATAACTTCAAAAATGTAATTCTGTATGGAGAATATGAAATATATATTAATATATATTCCACCCTTCAGTGTCCTTTCTGAAAAAAAATGCAGTGTATTGGGTTTTCCCAAACTCTTCTCAAGAATTAGACCTGCAGAGTGATGACCTTTTCTCTAGCTGGTGTTACAGAATCAGTACCTATGTGAAGAATTTTCTGTAGTATCTCACTGGATTTCTTCTTGTCCCATATGTTTTTGGATGGGCAGACTGGGCAGTACTCCGATTTTCCCAGTAAAAAAATGGTTTTACTAATTTATCCAGATAGAAGCTTGAACTCTATATATGACTGGAATAATTCTTAAGCTCGTGGAAGGTTACCTTTTTGGTATTAAAGCCATACCTTCACATTATTGCAATCCCTGAAGATTCCCCTTACTTCATTACATTGCTACGTTTTATCTATTGCCAGTCGTTCCACAGCTGGAGAAATTGTCTTTCAATTTCAATATGTTAAAGGCTAATGTGTTTGTCCTGTAAGATATAATTTATTATTAAGAAATGCTGTGCCTTTCTCAGCCCCTTTTAGCAATCTAGATAGGAGTGTTATTTCTTGTCGTTGTTTCTTAGGTTGCTGGGCTTCCTGTGTTGTTACGGCCTCTGTGGGATAGCGTCAGTAGGAGCGAAGATGTGTCCTGTCGTTTCCCTTCTCTTGGGCTGGGGGAGCAGGTCCGAGGGATTTCTTCACAAATTAAAACCACTCCTCTTGTTCCAGTTTTGTAAGCATCCTTCCCGAGTGTCTCCTAGATCAAGGCAGGCATAGCTAATGCTTTGAAGTGTAATCCAACAGGCAAATCTATCGCTATCTTTATTTTCAGATGTATCATGCATTTGTACAGTAGGGTTGCCCAAGTCCCATCTCTGATGTAGAGCTGAGATACAGAAATTGTTCAGCTTAATCTTGGTCATTCAAAGCTCTCAAGTTGAAACGAAGGAATTTCCACTGATGAGGTTTTGGGGGTTTTTTTAAATGTAACTTGAATCCTGATATCAAAACCAATATGCCCTCCATTTTACTTTGACAACTGAATCTTGAGTTCCTAGTAAATGCAAGAGTATTTAGGATACAGCGCAAGCGTGGCCGCACCAGATTTTAATAGTTATTTCTACAGCTGTACTCTAATGTAAACATGCAGTTAATTAGAATTACTTGTTTACAGCTGAGCTTGCTTACTTAGCAACAGCAATACATTGAGGTATGTTTTTGACAGCTAAGGGACAAAATTATCTGCTTTTTGAGGAATGTAGTAGTGGTGTGTCTTGATGAAATGTTCTGGTTTAAGGTGTTTGCTATTACTAGAGTATGAGAAAGCTTGTGACCTTCTCTGTTAGCTACCTGTTGCTGACTGTATTCTCCAAAGGGCTATTTAACAAGTCATTGTATTCACTTGTCTTTTTAGTTAAGGCACCAGAAAATAATCGCCTCTCCCAGTTGCACCCTTGTAGCCTCCCAAGAGTGGTGCAGAGGTATGCAGCATTTCCTTCTGAGGTTTAGTGTAGTCCCAGCAGACATTACATTTAGCCTTGAACAGCAACTTCCCAGCTGGCTGGGGGACTTACTATTGCCTTTTTAATCACTGCGATTTAAATACTCTCTCCTTGTCTGTAGGTTAATGTGCATAGATACACTTTTGTTTCCTTCAAGTTAAGTTTTTATTCTGTTTTGACAGTACAATTCTCTGTATAATATAAATGTTCATATTAATTAGGAAACGTTGCAAGGAAATGTGTATCAGTGAAGTAGGTTTCTTCCTTAATTTTGTAATGAGAAAGGATGCCTCACTCATATCTTGCTTATTGGTTTGGGGTTTTTTTTTTTAATTGATAGAAATGTGAAATGGGACACTTAGTGTAGTAAGTTCCAAAAACCATGTGTAATACCTGTTTCAACCCTGGTAATTTAAATAACTTAAAAATAACTGTGCTGGCTAAATTTGATTTAATGTGGCATTACTATGGAAAAATTAAACTAATTGGTTCTATGAATTTTAATTTAATTGCATAACAGTGATTGGCATAGCTTCACATATTTTGTGTTGCTTTTAACAGTTTAAAACCTTTTAAGATGAAGATGAAAATGGTTGTAATAACTTTTTTTAATATGCAAAAGACAATAATAAGGACATAGCCATTTGCTGAAAAGATTTTATTAAATACCTTTTAATTTTTTGGGGGTTTCTGCAATGAGAATATAATCACAGCACTGCATTATTCATGGAAAAAAGGCTCTAAGCACAATGCAAAGCTGAGGAATTTTTTTTTTTTCTTTAAACGAGTAAGAAAACTGAAAGGAGAAGGGCTCAGTCATGCTTCTCAGGAAAGCTAATAATAATACCTTGACCGAATCTACTATACAAGCCCCAAATCCCTGTGCAGGTCAGGAAGAGCAGCTTTGGTTCTCCTGTCCTGGCCTGCACTTTCTACACTTCCAAATATTTACAGAACAGTTGTGGAGGTCACTGTCGGTAAGAATTTTAAGTTTTCTGACACTTTGTCTCAATGTATTTTGCAGCAAGAATGTTATACAACTTTC